GGCTCTTTCCACACCCTCCAACCCTCGCTGTGCCTCTCTATCTCAGTGCTGATGTTATTTAATCAATAGAGGTTTGTAGGGGTTGGAGTGGGGAGCACGGTCTGTCAATTACAGGTCTTGGCTCAGCCTCAACTCTGCATGAATGCCATATAATTACCTCCATCATTGACTAGCCCCTGACAAGAATGGTAGTAATGTTTAGTTAGCCCAGAGCATTTTGATCAGTTGATAAAGATGCTTAAGACTTGCATGGCACTAACAGGGCTACACACATGAAATTTAGTGCTGTTTGTGAAAAATTGTTATAATCATACAATTACAACATAGAACACATCTTGAAAATAACAAATGGTGAGCCTCTTAGAGGAAGGTTTTGCACAAGACCAGATTTTGTAGAATATGTTATTAGAGGTCGTATTCTTATTCAGAGCATGACTCAATTAATTACTACTTTCTACAGTGTGTGAGAGCCAACAATATAACATGGTCGGAATGTGGACATGTATAAGCCATTTATTAACCAAAAAGAAATAGCCTCATTAGCCTAGTATTGATCAAATGACATGTATTTAAGAAGATATTGAACCTACTTGCAGAAAACTGCATGAGATTAAAACTTTCATTATAAATATATATCATATGTGTTCATGATAGGAAAAATCCTTCAGAACTTAACACTCTATGCTGCATCTGCTCCAAGAAGCCAGTCTGAGATTTATGAGAAAATTGAAATCCTCAGTTTGTGTTAGGTATTGATTTTAGCCTGCTTTGAACCATTCCTTGTACCCTAGATGGACTATCTTGCTATAGATGGTTCTATACAGCCCATCTCCTGCCCATGAGGCAACATAAGCTGCCTTAGGAACTTCAGCCCCTCTTAAGGCCAAAGGGCCTCTGGGTGTTCACATGTCTGGTACTAGGCAGCTGCTCTACGTTTTTAGTGAGGCACCATCAGTCACTAGAAGCTGGCAATCAATGGAAAACATTAGATCAGTAACAAGGCTGCGTAAAACATCCAAGTATGTGCATCCACGATACATTCTGTACACCCAAACTCACATGGTTGGTTATCTTGGTATTTCCACCACAGCTATGCCTGATATCAACCCCTGAGACCTCTAGTCTGCCTCTGTGATTAACAGCTTTGTCAGTTTGACTGAAGTAAGCTTAGCTGGCCCCAGGACCAGTTGGGCAGCCCCTGCCAGACAACATAACCTCACTATTTTTATCACAGGCATGTTTAAACATGTTATTCAGTTGCTGCAGTGTAATGCCAAGCTTGATTGAAGTCTTTCTGTGTTGGTATTGACACCAAATATGCATGAAATGAATCACCCAATCTCAAAAGATTTGCAACTGGTTTAAAAGTGATGTTGGAATGAAAATAGGATTCATCAAGCATTCCTGAAAGGTTGAATGTATGGGAACTAGTGCACATAGAATAGAAAATAGAAATGGTTTATATAAGCACTCCTGATATAGTGTCTGGAAGGTTTCCATACACTATTCAGTTGGCTAAGGGTTATTCCATAGTGGCCCTGATTGTCTGTAAAATGGTCCTAAAAATAGAAGTGAAAGGCACATGTAACATGATCAATCAATCATTAATTTTTTTTGACTTGCAAACATATCTAGATTCATATTGCATTCCCAGGCTGTATAATGAGAGTGTTGTTAGTAGCTCCATGGGGCGTGTCAATGATGCTGAAATGACCCAGCAGTGGGGCCCAGACTACCAGCCTTGGTGCTGAAAAGCCTTCCACTGACAATACAAGCCAAGAAAGGTCACCTCTGACCTCTGGTCGTGTGCTTACTGTTGGCAGGTTTTCCAATATGTGGTTACTGAAAATGTGGGTAACAACAACATTGTTAGCTGTTGGCAGAGGTTCTCTAATTAATTATGTGTATATATAATGTGGGTCAGGTTGTGCCATCTGGAGTTGAAATATCGACCTCACTTGGACCCACAGCATAAGTTAACAGATGCTAAAGTTGGCCCCAATTTCTGGGAAGGGAACAGGGAGGCCCTCACTTCCCAACATGAGTTGACTCAGTTGAGGCAGTACATGTGCCCTGTAAAAACTATTACTAGAATCATTTCCCTATGGGGTGTGTTAAGGTCAAACGGAAACATGCTCATGGCATACAAATGTTCTGGAAAAAATGACATCCGGCTTGGCAGTTAAACTTTAAAGGGGCCCTGCACTAGATATATTCTGCCAGTGACATTCTAGGATAGCTGCATGGTTCACTGGGTTTGGGGTTCCCTGGTATATTGCATTCTCCTAAAATGGTAAATAGTGGCCAACCAGAAGAATGCATGCATGGAAGACCACAGAAATGAGTTTTCATATATCACCCCTTTGGAATATCTGGAATGTGGTGATGAAAAATCAATATTTGCCCTGGAATTTTTATAGACTAGGCTGAACCAATTCTGCATTGATCACTGTAACATGGTAAAGAAATAACCCTAATGAACATCAAAAATTGATTGCTCTCATATCTAGTCCATATGAAATGGCATTCCAATAGGTCTTGCTTCTTACTTTTTTCCTCACCTATTGAAATACAGAATAAGCATATGTATTCGCACATGAAAACACACATCTATGTTCACATACTTAGATACACCTCAAAAATATTTCTAACCTATAAGTTATGAAGAGATTGCTCTAGAATAAATCTGGACCATGGAATCTTATTGGTTAAACATGGGAAATAATCCAATACGATTATATGCTTCAGGACCAGCAGGACCAGAGATAAGTTCTGACCAGTGGATACATGTCCCTAGTGGCTAGTGGTCTAGTGCTGTGATGAAACGTGATAATCTCCATACTGTAGGGGATTAAGAGTGGGAACATTTCCCTGTTGGCCTGCAGTGAAGGGACAGGTGTAATGAAATGTGGTAATCTCCTTACCTCTGGGAAACTGAATCCTTTCAAAGTTAACATGAACAAAGTGTTCTGAATGTAGGGAATTGTCAACTCAAAAGAGATTTTACTTGACCAGAATCACCAGATTATTCTGTTATACATGTAGCAATATAATTACCATGGTAACACAGTGCATTAAAAACCAACCGCAGAGTATCGATTTCCATGATTTGAATGGAATAATTTGACCATTGTTAGCTCTCTAGACATGTGTTTGGCTACCTTTGGCAGGTCCTATCATATGATGTATAATGTTAGCTCATCATGTATTCCAAACCATGCCCAGTAATTTGTCGCCCCTGCCTATGTAACTAGGACACAAATCCCGGCCTTAGTGGAGGCTAGAGGACATGGGAAAAATGGAAATATTTATGGACTAGGTCGCTTATTTTCAATTTTGGACCATGAGGTTTCCACTTTACTGTGTATGTGGCTTTTATGTCTCGTGCCAAACTTAAACATGTAGATAGCTCTGGTAGCTACCACTGGAATTGAGTTTACCAGAGGGAGATAATGTTAAAGACTGTATATTTGGCCCATTCTGTGTGTTTTTCACTACTACTAGTACTATGTATCATTGTAGCCTTGTCAAGTTTACATGTAGACATCATGAGCAGCTTCCATTCTACAATCACCTGGTGTTTAAATGGAGTTGATGGGTAGCTGTGGGGCTCTGTCAATGATACATTAGATATCCTTGTCCTGTGCCATATGGAGAGGGGCCTACCCTTCTGTACCGGGTGAGGATAAGTTATCCTCTATCTGGTTCAGCATGCATCTGGTGCAACCCCTGCAGGCCCAAAATTCCTCATTCTACAGTTATGGGTGTTACCTTGAGTACAGGTTAGCTTTGGATATGTGGAGATATTCATACAGCAGAGCTGCTTATGGCAACAGAAAGGAACCATATTTGGAGTTTGACAAATTGCTGCACAGGCCATTGTGAGATGTGGGCCTCCCACATCTCCAGTATTTTGTCTGTGTTCAAACTAATTACTCTCTGTAAAGCTGGCGATATGTTATCACAGTATCATTGAAATGCCCTTGTAGAGTAAAAGATAGGTTAATTTAAAATTGGATGGATCCAAATTTTGCATGAACGAAAATTGGGGTAACGAAATCGACCTTCACTGTTATTAAAATAAATTTGAGTCAGCTGATGTATAAAAAAAGAAAAGGCAGAAAATTTAACTAGCTATTGTAGTTCATGTTCTTCTCTCCTTCATGGGATAATGTCATCACTCCAGTGTTGCTAGGTACAGAGGGAATGTTAGCCAGGGTTGTTTAAGAGAACAAATACAACCTTTGCACTTGTTACTTAATTTGCCTCGACTGTGGACTTGGAATGATGTAATGTCTAAGGCCCAGGGTGACATTACCTTTACATTGGTTTTGTTGTCTCCGGTGTCCTTTTTAAAAATTTCAATCTGTTCTCCCTTTCTTTTGATAAAAAAATACTCTCCTTTTTGGGGAATCGATCTAATTTAAAATCTTCTAATTTCGAATTTTAAAGCCATCATTACCATTACTTTGGATAAAAATCTTGCAGACTGTGCACACTACAGTCTATCATGGCATGTTTACACAGTCTGCTTGAACACCTTTCTTCAGTATTTGTTTAGTGATATCATGGTGATTTAAAGTCTGTTGATAATTTGAACGTGGTAAAACAGGCCTCCCACAGTGAAGTGAAAGTTTGAGGAAATATGGTACAAATTCTTGTTAGATTTTGTTCCAGTGAGTCTGGTTACCTGGACAAAAAGGGTATGTAGCAACTGTCACGTAGCATGTGTTAGGTCAATATGTACAGTAACTATTCCACCTATGACAAATCAGCACACAGGAACCGCCCAGAAAGTATAGAGTGCAAAGTTACATATTACATATTACACCCAATAACAGTGAGCATGCACTTGACGTGGCATGAACTGGCCACGTAGACACACCTACTTTTGCACTGACGTGGTGAGGTCATCCTCTTTTATCCCCCAGTCGGTTCAGCCTACAGGTGTATACTCACTCAGTCTTCTTACCTGCCTTTCCTCTGCTGTGTTTCCACAGAACCCAACGTAACGCCCAATCATGGCAAACTTGTGGCAGAAGAAATACCCGTCCGATGAGGACTTCCCAGAGTTGTCCAAGCACAACAACCACATGGCCAGGTGCCTGACCAAGGAGATCTACGCCAAGCTCCGCGACAAGGTCACCCCCTCCGGCTACACCCTGGACAAGGTCATCCAGACTGGTGTGGACAACCCTGGTAGGTTCACAATGCTGACTTTGGATGAGGGTGAAATAAAACCAAATTAATGAATGCTAAATAGCTTATATACCCAGCATAGGGATAGTTGCTATACATGTTTGTATGTAGCACTTCTCATGTACAGATCGTGGTAAAAATGGCACCAGGGGTAAGGATAAACCAAGAGATCCCATTGTTGGGAAGTATGGTTGGGTGAACTGTTCAAGTTGGATAGCGTGGTATATTTACAAACAAAGAGCATCAAAACAAGTGAACGGAGAGTAAATGGTCGTCCAATCTTGTGTTCCCCAGGTCACCCCTTCATCATGACTGTGGGCTGTGTGGCTGGTGATGAGGAGTCCTACGATGTGTTTGCTGAGCTGCTGGACCCCGTCATCGACGACCGCCATGGTGGATACGCCAAGGATGCCGTCCACAAGACCGACCTGAACTTCGAGAACCTGAAGGGTGGTGAGTTCGACGAGAAGTACGTCTTCAGCTCCCGTGTGCGTACTGGCCGCTCCATCCGTGGCATCAGCCTGCCACCACACTGCTCCCGCGCTGAGAGGCGTGCTGTTGAGACGATCTCTCTGGATGGTACGTATCTCACTTGGTATCTGCCTCTTTGTATCAAAATCCTAAGTTGCAATGTACTACCTTGTCTGTCATGATGATAAAAAGTATGATCATGCATGTAAAGAGCAGCCTATTATCTGACTCCTGGAGAAATCAGTAGAACATATATAATTCTTGGAAAGCACTTGAAGACTGAGATTCCTTTAGAGAGATTGAGAAGCCTTAAGATAAGAGTCTGGCATGTCCAGCTCTGTTCCACCTCTAACGTGTCCTCCCTCTGCTGGCAGCTCTGAGCCACCTGACTGGAGAGTTCGCCGGCAAGTACTACCCTCTGTCTGGCATGACCGATGCCGAGCAGGAGCAGCTCATCGCTGACCACTTCCTGTTTGACAAGCCCGTGTCTCCCCTGCTGACCTGTGCTGGCATGGCCCGTGACTGGCCCGATGCCCGTGGTATCTGGTGAGTACAAAACCTGGGCTTGATGGCCGGAACAGAAGATATCAATGGAACCCAAAATGGAACTTTCAGCAAGTCAAAGAAACAACCAGCATACAAACAGAATGACAAAACTTTGAAAAATTTTTCCCTAAGAATAAAAGCCTGGATATTGGAAAGTCATGCAACACTTGTTAATTTGCTACAATAAAGGGAAAAGTTGCAGCCCAAATAATAGAAACTTTGCAGTGCTGAATGGAATCTAGCAATTGTGTAAATATTTCCTTTTTTGTTTTTGAGTCGAATGGTGGTTATTCATGTAATAGGAGCAATGCTCACCGTTTACAATTACTTATTATTGATAAATTGTGTAATGTGAAATAATTATGTGGCCACAATGTCATCATGGAGGCAGGAGAAAGAAAGAAGGTAAGACCTGTTGTTATGGTAACTACACAATGCTGAAACCCTCTCCCCCGTTTGCCGCTTGCTCATTTAGGCACAACAACAACAAGACCTTCCTCATCTGGATCAACGAGGAGGACCATCTTCGTGTCATCTCCATGCAGAAGGGTGGAAACATGAGGGCTGTCTTCAAGCGCTTCTGCGAGGGTCTGCAGAAGGTGGGGTTGCTTTGTTGCTCATGCTTCTGAAACTGTGCTGTTCCAACTGGCTTGAAAGTCATTTTTCTGCAGGGGTCCCCTTTGATGCAATCTTGATAACAACATACTATGCAGGTTGTTATCAAGATAAGAAACGGTTTCCAGATGTAAAATTTCCAATCAGATCATTTGTATTTTCCCTTTGTTTTGACGCTGGTGAGCAAAAGGGTCAGATGTGACTGTGTAAAAAGTTGTCATGGATTATCTATCAACCAACAAAAGGGACCATCCAACAAAAGGGACCATTGTTTAAGTGTGATGACTTTTGAGGCTAGTTGATGCAGGCGACTGATCCCAAACAGTATTTGTTAACAGGTGTTGGAGGAAGAGAAGCCACAAGCTGCGGGTCAATGTGAAGGTTAAGTTGCACTAAGCCACAAATCGTAACGTTATGATTTCAGGCACAATAATGACAAGACCTTCTTGATCTGGATCAATGAGGAAGATCATCTGCGTGTGATCTCCATGCAGAAGGGAGGGAACATGCGCGCTGTGTTCAGGCGTTTCTGCGAGGGTCTGAACAAGGTTAGACTAGACTGGACATTTTGTTCCGTTGTTGGCTGAGGCGGGGCGAGCAGCCCAGCTTTACTGCCAGCACGGCTGACAATGTCACCAACCGCCAGGCACTGAGCATGGCGCTTCACTAATGGACCTTTGCAGGGTTGGGGACCAGGAAGCAGGCTTTTGTTTTGATGCAGGCTTCTGCTACACAAATAGTTTTTGTGGGAGAGGGGGGGGGGGATAGCCTGGGTACCATCCCCAGTAGTATATTCGCAAACTCTATAACTGGGTCTGGACTTGCACACATATGTAGCGTCTGGAGTCTAAATATTCGTTCAGATTTTGAACGAGCGCGCTGATTGGTCCTACTCGTCTAAGCCCTTTTTTGGGTGTGTACATATTAGGTAAGGGCTGTTCGGATGTCCGAACGGCGACGTTAGCGTCCGTTCGAACGACCGAACGCCTTATCATCAACATGTCCGACGGCGAACCGAACGCTAAAGCGCACATGATATAGCCGTAGTCAGTCTTTCCGTGATAAATCATCAACATGGCTAACGCACAAGCCGCTCAGCTCACGGAGGTTGATGTTGACCTTGCAATCACGTCCGTTTTGGACGATTTAGACGGAATATCGTCGCTCAAAAATGAGCAAAAAGATGCATTGAATAATTTTGTTCGTGATGTTTTGGGCGTCCTACCGGTAAAAAAGAACGCACCGAGAAAAGGAACACTCGCGCAAAGATCTGTGTTTACAAAACAACAAACATCACTTGAATAATGCAGGTGCGCCATTGGCCGTCGCCTCTGAGGCTCAGCCAATCAAATGAAGCCCCGCTGCTCGGGCTAGCTCATTACGTGACGTCATGACCAATCGTTTTATATGTGTGCAAGTCCAGACCCAGTTATAGAGTTTGCGAATATACTACTGGGGATGGTACCCAGGCTAGGGGGGGGAAACAAACTGACTTGGAAAGAGATTGGGAAGAGCTATTTGGCAGGGAAGAAATATGGGACACTGCTTATTAATTTTAATTGTAACAATCTGACATATTTTTATGCTTACATATTGGAGCTCTGAGATTATTAAACTCCACATGGTTAAACACGCTTCAATTAGTCTTTCAGTCAGCTTGAAAATGTATTTTCTTGAACCACCAAAAAGGTCCAAAGAAGGGAGATTCAATCGTACCCATTTCTATCCCTTCAGGTGGAGGAGGCCATGAAGAAGAAGGGCCACGAGTACATGTGGAACCAGCATCTGGGCTACGTCCTGACCTGCCCGTCCAACCTGGGCACTGGTCTGCGTGGTGGAGTGCATATTAAGATCGAGGGTATGTCCAAGGACCTGAAGCGTCTGGACGACATCTTGGACAAGCTCCGTCTGCAGAAGCGTGGCACCGGTCAGTAACAAATCTACAACTGTATGGTACCAT